AGATTGTAACTTTTGCTTCATAGGCCCTGGACATTTGTTTCATAGACTCTGGTTTTTGTTTCATATAAATTCTGACCTTTGCTTTGGCTTTTGTTTCAAAAGTGTCTTAATTTTAAATTGTGTGTTTTAAATGTTTGCAAGTTTCTTGTTTTTCTTATGCATTGTCTTTTGTTAAAATTAATTTTATTCTTATTTTGTATGTGTTGCATTTGGACTTAGTTGCCTTAAAATGTTGTAAAATGGGTCTCTTATGAAACTGTCTCAGATAAAAACAGTTCAGGCTTTTATCTGTCCCTTATAGAATGCCAAACAGTTGTTACTCTGCCAGCTAGTATTGCCTTTAGGGCAGGTGGCACTCTCAAAGCAGAGGACAGATTTCTCCAGTTGCCCTCTGGTGAATCTGTTCTGATTATTGCTTTGAGAGTGGCAGCTGCCCTAAAGGCAATACTAGCTGGCAGAGTAACAGCTGTTTGGCATTCTATAAGGGACAGATAAAAGCCTGAACTGATTCCTATGAAGCAAAAAGACCAAAGTTAGAACCTATGGAACAAAAGCAAACTCTTACCTCCAACTAGTAATCTCGGTGGAAGATCTCCAAAATGATATAGGGGGAAGAGATGTAACTCCCAAAGCTACTAGATATCTGAAATGAAAGTTTGTGTTCTCTAAAATCGAAGAATGAATTCTAGGAACAATGGAGGTTAAGAGTAGGAAAAATTATTGGGAGAAAGAAAGCTTTGCCTAAGAGAGACAGAAGGGGGACTGGAAAGTGGGTTGCCCCGACTCTGTAATTTCTTGACCCATTGATCATGACAAAAGTGACATCATGACAATCTTGTAGCTCATATTTTAAGAAACTCACAATTTGCATCTCATTTTCTTTGGAATGCTTGCTTGTGAACACAGGGAAAGAGCTCCCAGAGGGCCCCCATGGAAAAGATTCAGGCCTCTGGTTCTCAGCCACAGGTGACCTCCCAGCTGGCAGCCAGCACCACCTTGCCATGGGAATGAACCACCTTGGAAGGGGATCTGCTGGGCCCTTTGACTGTTCACCCCACATGGAGGGAGTCTCTCTGAGCCCAGACTAAACTGCAGATCCTGGAAATAACTTCATTTGCCTTACAATATAAGTTGTGACATGCTTAGTTATGCAGCAAGCAATAACCAGAACAGATTTTAATACCTGGGAGTGGAGTGCTGCTGTGACTATAACACACAGTGCTGGCTTTGAAAGCGGGGAACAGACAGAGGTTAAAGGCCATTAGGAGAGTGTTAGTGATGGGGAGAGTAGGTTTAAGAGATGGGAAGAAAATGGCACCTGGAGCTAGAGGAAAGGGAACTCCTGGTACAAAGGAAAGTTGGTGTGTGAGTCAGATTTCCTGTTGCTGAACACAATACCTGACACCTACAATTTAAAGATTTAATTTAGCTCACAATTCAGTAGAATTCAGTTAATAGTCAGCTCACTCCAAGGCAGGAACATTATAGCAGAAGGGTGTAGTGGAGCAAAGATGCTTAGTTCATGGCAGTTGGGGAGCAGGGCAGGAAAGAAGTGCCAGAGAGGAATGAGGGAGGGACCATATTTAGTTCTCAAGGTCACACCTCCATGATCCATTCAGACACACCCAGATTAGTGCTTTACACAACTGCTAGAAGTTCGCCTTAATCCAATGAAGTTGACATAACAGGATTAATAATAAAAAGCCACCCCTTGTCAACTTCACACCCAAACTTATCTCCTTAAACCATACTTAATCTCCAATAAAGACAATAACAAGTTCATAATCCTGCCTAAAATGCAACTATCCTATGCACAACCATAAATGCAATCAGTCCTTTTCCAAAGTCTCAATAGTTCCGTCATCTTTCAAATGTCCAAGTCTCTTCTGAGACTCAAGACAAACTCTTGGCTATGAAAGTCTGTAAAAACAAAAACAAAAAAAAGCTACATAATTGCAAGATACAATAGCACATGGTAAACATTTTCATTCTATAGAGGAGGAATAAGGGGGTAGAAAATAACTGGACCAAAGCATGACCAAAAACCAGAAGGGCAAACATTCAGCCCTGTAGCTCCGTGTCCATCATCTGGGGCACCAAGTGATAAAACGTAAATTCCAAAGGGCATGGGCACCCCACCCCCATGGCCTTGCTAGTTGCAGTCTACAAGGCCTCTCTCTAATGTGGGCACCCCTCTTGGCCTGCAGCTTTCCTCAGCCAACTTTCCATGTTCTTGGCATTTCTGAAACCCTGGGGTTTCTACTGTACTTTTGGCTTCATTCCCATAGCTTCACAGGAGCCTCTCAGGGGCTCCTTGCCTGAGCTCCCAGGAATTCCTTTAAAATCTGTGTGGAAACATCCCTGATCCCACAAGTCTTACATTCTGCATGCTAGCAAAACCAGCATCATGTACATGACACCAAGGTCAGCTGTCAGTGGAAGCAGAAGCCAAGCTCCCTTGAAATATGGTCCCTAAATGTGTGGATGGCTGAGCACGATGCAATGAATCCCAGGGAATCAATTTCCTAGGGGGTTCTTCTTACACTTGATCTTAGCCAAAAGGCTGAGAAGCGATCTAGGGGGCTCTTCTTTAGCAGAGGTCTCAGGGACTCTCTAGTCAAACGAAAGGTTGACACTTTTGGACCCTTGAACCTGCCATGGCTCGGGTCTGGCTGATTCCTGATACTAACAAAGTATATTTCTTCTTGTTCCTGTACCAAGTACTTGATTTCTTTTTAATGGTACTAATCTCTTTGGCCCCACCTTTACACATAGTGCTTTTGTGCCAAAATTTAAATTTTTAAAAAATTTCTCTTCTACTTTTTGCCCCTAATTCTTTCTATAAATCTGGCTAAAATCAGTTAGAAGCACCTGTGCCACAAGCTGAATGTTGAGCTGTCCTTTATTTATTTATTTATTTATTTATTTAATTTTTTTGGTACTGGGGAACGAACTCGGGTTCTTGCACTTGCGCAGCAGGTGGCAAAACCACTGAACTAAATCCCCGGCCCTGAACTGTCTTTTAAAAAGCTTTAGTAGTACATGTTTGCAGTACTTAATGATTATGTTTATCATGAGGAGTTGGTATGTGTACATAACTCATAATTTTTTTTATGTCCTCTTCCCTTTCTTTCCCTCCCATTTCTGTTGGGCTGCCTTGAAATTTCCTCTACCAGATTAATTAATTACTTAATCTTAGTCTCCTGCAAAATCTCAGGACATGGGCAAAATATAGACAAATTTTCTGCCAAAGTGTAACACACATGCCCTTTAGTCCAACTGCCAATAATAGTGCTGGGATTAAAGATATGCACTGCCATGCCAAGCAATTTCACTTACTTTTAAAGAGAAATAGAACCATACTATATGCATTCTTCCATGACTTGCTTTATGTTGGTCATGAGTTTCACATATTTGGTTTTGTCTTCATCTTTGCGATTAGTCTATAAAACAAACAACTACTAAACCTACTCTGGCACACTGTATTGTACCTCTCAGTTGACTGTTAAACACTACAGGTCTATGCTGGGCAGGATGTGATCACCAAATAGCCAGACAGCTCATTATTATGCAGTTGTAGATGTAACATTTGGGAATAAGAATTATTTAGATGACATATAAAACATACTACCTAAGTGCATGACTTTATTATTTAATTTTACAAATACATTTTGTAACACACATGCAAAAGAATTTATGAGCTTGACTCGTCCTTTGCCGTCTTTGCCATCATCCCTACATGTCTCTTTGCATTAGCACAGATAACTGAGAGCAAACCTTCAGAGGGAATAGAGAAGATTCTGCCTTGCCTGCAGCTTTAAGTATTTCCTTAAGTAAATACCACAAGCGGCACAGATAATTCTTTCATACAATGTAGAGATGAAACAAAAATAACAGTGAATCCTCTAGGTGTCAAACAGGCCTAGTATTCTTCTAGGAACTAGAGTATATGTTTCTTGAGCCAGTATCCATTGATATTTTCATTCTCAGATTCTTAATCAGGTTGCTTTGGATTCTGATGCTGCATTCCAAGGAAGGGGATTCTGATGTAATTTGTTAAAGCTCCAGTGACTCTAATATGCAGCAGAGTTTGGGAATCATTGGTTGAAACTATTTTGTCCTTACAGTGTTCAACACAGTGTCTGTGGAAATAAGACACTCAGAATGAATATGTTCGATATGGCAGGAAGGAGTGAAGAGCGTCCGGTCCAAATACACACCAGCCACAGACAGGGATGAGTCAGGTCCTGGCAAAGACGCCGAGGAGAAATGCCCTGCACTGTAGGTGGGTGAAGGCTGACCTCCACTCCCACTCCTTTTCCCAAGTTTCTATCTTCACTCTAAGGAGAAAAGATTTCCATGCCGAAGTAGGGTACTGTCCAGCCAAAGTCCGAGGCCCTCAGAATCGAAGTTCACTAAGAAGTTCAGGCATGTCTTGTCTGTAATACTAGTGAAGCAGAGGTAGAAAAGGCAGGAGTAAGCTCTTCCAGCTTTGGTCCAAGTCCAGCTGACTTTAGAGTCAATCCCGGAGCCTTTCTGGGCTCCAAACTACAGTGGGAGCGCTTCCTGGATAGGGAAAAGGGAGTGTTCAGGGCACCACCGTGGACTGAGTCAGGACTGCTCGGTTCCAATGCAATGCAGCCTTGCGCCCCCGGGAGCGCGGGTTTTAACGCAATGACCCCAGTGTGAACTGGGCGGGGTTGGAGCTGTGTCCGGGGCGCGCCGGGCTGGGGCTTATGGACTACATGTCCCGACATCCCTCGGGCAGGGGTGGGGCAGCACGGGAGCAGAGCCGGAGGCCAGCCAGGGCCAGGCGTGCGCAGTGGTTCTTGGGAGTGGCAGGGCGGGTCCTCCGGGGCTGTCAGCGGTGGCCTCCGGCGCCCGGGCTGGAGAGGCGGTGGCCATTGGCTGAGGGGTGGGTCGGTGGGCGGGGCCGGGTCGTTGCTAGCTAGGCTGAGCGGGCGGAGGCTGGCAGCCGGTCGGGGAGGCACGGTCCGGGCTGCTGCATTTCGGCCTGGACATGGCAGCGACGCCGCTGAAAGTGTGCATCGTGGGCTCCGGGAACTGGTGAGCTGCGGCGGGCCGGCGGCGCGGGCTCCGCCTCCAGGAAGCCCCATTTCCCGGCGGCCGAGTGCTGTGCGTCCCCGCCGCGAAGTGGACACCGGGCACCGCGCTCAGGGTGGCAGGGCGGGCGACCTCGCAGCCAGGCTGGGCATTGCACACCTGGAGAGGCCGGGAGGAGGCTCTGGTCCAGGAGGCGCGGGCCCACTGAGGGCAGTGTGGAGGGAAGGCACCGCGTGCCCCCGAGCACCTGTCTGCGCCCTCGCAACCGCTCAGCGAGCGCACCGGGGACACCAGCTCGCCAACCCCGGGTGTTTTGCGCAGCACACTAAGGGCGTTCTGCATTCTCCTTGGCCGATAGCCTGGGTCGAGTGATTGAAGGAGACGCGAGCTTTAGTTTTGGTGTTAGGGAAACCGAGGCACGGAAGGCTAAAAGGGCTCTTGTTACCCTGACCTCAGACGGAGTAGGAGCTGCCCTTAAAGTTGCGGGTCTCACCTCCGCTTCTGATATGTCCAGTATCTTCATATCTTAGTAACGTTGTATAAGGAAGAAAAATCCAAGTTCCAACAGGCCTTGCTGTCAGGGACACTGAGCATTCTCCCCTGGGGAGATGTTTGCAAAGCTTTTCGGCTCCCCTGGGCTTTGACTTTAACATTTATAAAGCACTTGTGCCAGGTGTTCTTCCAAGCACCTTATAAATGTCAGCTCTCTTAGTATCCTTTATCAGACGTACATAGGGGATTCGTGGTATGTTTGGGTGAATGTAGAGGAACGTGGGGAGGAATGGAAGCAGAATATAGCATTGGCATTTTCAAGCTTCCATTATTGTGCCCTTTTGCCACATCCGTGGGAGTGGTACAGAACAGTTAAGAGTCATGATGTTCTTTCTCTTTCTGTGCATCTGTTTACCTATTTTTCTTCCTGTGGTTTGACTCGTCACCGTTCAGGTTGCTGGGAGTGCTGTGGGAAATGCTACTAGGTATTTGGCCTTAGTCTTCCTGCTTTAAGACTTGGCCCAGAAAGTACTTCTTGGAGGAACTACCTGGTTCTCCACTTTCTATCCAAGCAAGCCCAGTGACCTCTCCCTGGGCCCTTACTGTTGTTTTCTATCTATATATTGAAATGATTTATCTAATTATCGGTTTCTACTCCACCCCACCCAATTGTTGAGACTGGCATCTTACTGTAATGCCTGCAATATGCTAAGTAATATTAATAAATGTCTGAAAACTAATTTTACGGGGGTGCTTGGGATTGAACCCAGTGCCTTTCACATGCCAAAAACATACTGTACCACTGAGCCACATCCTTAGTCTTCAAACTAATTTTTAAAACTATAATTGCATTTGATTACATAACACATTCACTCTGTGTGTGTATATCTGTACTGGTAATTGAACCCAGCACTCTGTCACTGAGCTGTATCCCCCCAGTCTACATTCAAAGTTGTTTTGTTCATTTGTTTATTTGGTTTTTGTACTGGAAAATGAGCCCAGGGCCTTCACACTGAGGTACAATCCCAGCTCTTTATTTTTTTTAAATTTTTAAGACAGAGTTTTACTAAGTTGTTTAGGCTGAGCTTGAACTTGCTATCCTCCTGCCTCAGCCTCATAGAGTGCTGAGATTACAGGTATGTGCCACCAGGCCCAGCTAACATTGATGTTTTTAAAAATCAAAAGATATCCAAAAAATAGTGAACCATCCCCTGTTAACATTTGTCTTCCCAGCTGCCTTTTCTGAGAATATCAGTGATATCAATCTGTTCTGTCCTTTCTGGAGGACAGGTTCATTAGGTGCCGCATTTATGTTGACATATTCTTGTCTCTGTCTACCCTGCAAGTACAAGGGTATTACGTGCTTTTGGAATGCTAATTGTTGGACCACAACAGAATGTTCTGCACAACATTTAATGAAGTTAGTATGTGTCCACTGCAGAGTTTCATTTGACTTTCAGCTTGGCTTTGCCGGTTTTGATCTCAAGGTTGCTTTAGTGAGATGTCAGCTGAGCTTTTGGCTGTTCTACTGGAAAAGCACTTATTTAGGACATGTTCTTTTAACATGTTTACTCTCCTGTAGAATTCCACAGACAACAGTCCCTTCTAATTTGCAAGGTACAGGTAGAAGTACCACAGCTTTGCTATGGTGGATATGGGCCTCAGCAAGAGTAGTGAAACAAACTTCTGCACCCTCCACTGAGATTTGGCTGCCCGCCCAGAGCTTCTTCGTTCGGATAGATTTCATTGTTTTCTTGGCCCACTCCAGTCACAGCACATGGAATAGAACTTGGCCAGTGACACTGAAGCAGAGGAGTTGAGAAATGTGCTGATGAATTGGGCTAGCTCCCTGGCTCCCTTAATTACCAGATCTGATGGGAACTGTTGTTGGCTTCTCTGTCGCTGCGTTGGGTCCAGAGCCACCCCAGTCCTAGAGAGGATCACAACCTCCTCAGAGAGATTCAGAAATGTAGGAACATAGGAACATAAGACAACATGGAGTGTTCAGCTCTGACTTAGTAGACATTTGGGTGGTCACCCAGGTAGGTACTGTGATCTTCAAAGATATACAGGCACCCCTAACACAGTCCCTGCCTTTGGGCCACCCACCTTCAGGTCTCAGATTAATTGGAAGATCAAAAGAAATACAGAGTGGAATGGAATATTCATCACAAAGTTAGACTTTACATTGTAAATAGTATTTCTTAAACAGTGTCAGAGACTACTTATCTCAGAGTTGTCAATGAGAGTAGACTTGCTGAATTGAATTCCTAGAGGGTGGGACAGATTTTTGTCTAAGGCCCTTGAGCCTTTTGGAAGTTTTAAAAACACGTCACCACAAGCTGGACCTACCTTCCAGAACTGGCCCTTACCTCGGGAATGCAAAGTTGCCTAAGCAGTATTTACACTTGGGACTCTGAAGTAGCTCCCAGTGCATATGTAAATAAAAATGTTGTTACTTATAAGCTCTGCACACTGAGTACCCTCCCATGTCACCTGTCATCTTTGGCGATAAATCTAACTGCTTGCCAGGGAGCCAGGAAGGACCTGGGTTGTGTAACATGCCCTTGTTCTGTCCTTTGGCGAACTTCCTTTGCTCTGGACAGGTCAGAGAGAGGAGGCCAGAGAAGCTCTGGCGCCTGCAGCTGAGTCCTGCCATGCTGTCCACTGCTGGGGTCTGGAGGGCTCTGCCTTAACCTGCCTGACTTGTCATGGCAGATAAGTTGAAAAGGCAACAAAAGCTTGGAGGGTTTCTCCAAAGATGTCAATTCTTTTTTTTTTTTTTTCAGTACTGGGGATCAAACTTGGGTCCTTGAGCTTGCCCAGCAGGTGGCGAAATCACTGAGTTAAATCCCTGGCCCTCTCCAAAGATGTAACAAAATTTGTTCACCAGTGCCTTGGGAAGATTACTCAGAAACAATGCAGATTCAGTTCAAGAACTAAAACCTCAGGACCTCTGCTGGATCCAAAACTACACCTCAGGCCTCCTTTGGTAACAGGGTAGGGCAGTAGCAGAAGGAGGGGCTTGAGAACCCAACACCCTGGGTTTCTCCCAGGCTTTGGGCAAACAACTTTTCTGTATGATTGGTACTGGCTGCTTAGGATTATTATTAGTGTTACATGAGTGATCTGGGAAGAGTACATGGTGTTAGCACTCACTTTCCGCATCTGTGACCAGAGCTATCATGAAGTCACAAAATGGACCAGGCTGGAGTTTGGCCAAGGGGAGAAGTAGAGGATGGGAGAGAAGAGAAAACACAATGAGTGGCCAGTTGGCAGCTGGAATTTTCTGGGAGTTGCTGTCTCTTTCCCTCATTTTCACATCAGCCTTGTACCCTGACATTTTCACTGCACCTGAAGGTCAGGAGAACCTTAGCCCACCTTGTGCAGGTGCAGACGTGGGGCGTGTGACTTGGCTGGGACTCGCTGAACGAAGTGCTCTGGCTCTTCACCCACCTCTGGGACCCACTTGCTTGTGCTCCTCACTTGCCGTCATGCTTCTTGCTGCACAGATTGCTAAGAGCAGTCTGAGAGATTAATTTAGCTCCTCAGTGGAAGAAATAATCCCTTCCCTGTCAGCAGGCGGCAATGACACCCCTCTGCTGTGGGAGGGGGGGGGGGCACGGAATTTGACACTGAGCATAGGTTAGACCCGAGCTGGGAGAAGGCTCAGAGTAACTTCTGGGCCGGGCTGGGAACATTTGTATAATTAAAAGCAGAAAGTGCTGCTTCATCCTCTGTTTCCATCACCTCCCCATTTGTTCAGTGTAAAAGCCAAGAGGAATATTCTAGGAATACTCAGGACTTGCAATTTTCTGAACCCCAGCCTTCTTCATTTTTTTCCACTTTCTGTTCTCCCTACCAGGAATAATAATAATAATAATAATAATAACAACAACAACAACATCCACCACTCACAGATTGTCTTTTGTGTGGCAGATATGTACACATTTTACTTAAACCTCATTACAAGCCTGTGTGATACAATTATTATCCCTATTTTAAATGGCAAAATTGAGATTAAACTTGCTCAAGGTCAAAAGTAAATAAAATGGAGTTCAAACCCAGATCCTTCTTACTCCAAAGACTATATTTCGATAGATTACTATTGTTTTTGTGAGAAACATACTTTTACTTGAGGCCAGATCTCATTTACGTAAAAATGTTGCGTATCTACTCTACCAATAAAATCTCAATCTAATACTCCACTTATGAGAACTAAAATTGAATGAAGCCTTAAAAATAGTTGTTCAGTTTCCCTCCAGAGCAGATACTGTATTTCTTCTCCTGGAGACGTGGCAGATGATGATAGTTTTCTATTTATCTATCTTATTTCTTTGTTTCAGTGTTTTTCTTTGAGATAGGGTCTCACTATGTAGCCTAGACCAGCCTTGAACTCTTGGTGATTCTCCTGTCTTAGCCTCCTGAGTGCTGGGGTTACAGGCATGTGCCACCATATCCAGCTTGGTTTTACTTTTTATTTTTTTTGAGTCAGGGTTTCACTGTGGTTC